CTCTGCCTCTGAGCTGTATCCCCAGCTCCACTTGAGCTCTTTCTGCTTCTGGGTTTTTATTGGTGTTTTGGTGGTACTGGGGTTTGAACTCCAGTATTTTGGTACTAGGGTTTTGCTCTTGCTAGGCAGGTGCTCTATCACTTGAGCCACTCCACCAGCTCCCCTGAAGTCAATTTAACTCTTGCTTTGGCCCTTCAATACTTTCAGCGGGGTGAGAAATTTAAATTCAATCTTTTCAGCTATGGCTCTGTCTTTGTCAGGACTGGAATGGACGTGTGTCCTTGTCTTTCAAATTTTCATCTGTAAAATGGGACCATGATAGTACAGACTTCAATGGGCTGAGTTACAAATGGTACAATATTTATAAAAGTGCCTGGCATTCATTAAATATTAGCTATCTATTCCAAAGATATAGACAAGAATCAAACCTAGCATGGTGGTGTCAAGGAAGGCTACCTGGAAGAGACAGCATTTCAGTTAATGATATGCTTTGGTCCTAGCATGATTTTTAACTCCTCTCCTTAAATGTTTATTAGGACATAGGAGTTAAATACACTTTCTCCCTAACACACTTAGAAAACTTGGCAAACACAGAAAAATATAAAGAAGAAAATGGAAAACACCTAAATCCCATCTTTCAGTGACTTCATTCTAGATTATTTTTATCTTCACTTTTGGGGTTATTTTTGGTAGTATTGGGGTTTGAACTCAGGGCCTTGCACTTGCTAGGCAGATGCTCTACCACTGAGCCATGCCCCTAGCCATAAATTCATTTTTTAAATACATTAATAAACTGCATATACTGTGAATCTGGCTATAAAATGTCTACTCTGGAAATATATTTATAGACTTTTAAGAGATAAAGATCTGAATGTGGAGAAATGCCCCAAAATATTAACAGTGGCTATCTGTGAGGGACATTGTCAGAAATTTTTCTTGAGTTCCTTTTGGAAATGTGTCTGTTCCTCAACACTCTGTTATTGTCTATCATAAAAAAAAAAAAACAACAAATGTTATTTGCAATGCAATATGTAGAACACGGGACCCCGGACTTCGCTCTCCCAACCATCACATCGTCAGACCCCATGGGGAAGAGGACGGCTCGGCCAAACTGTGAGCCGGGATCCTTTGGGCTGAGAGGCTACACGTGGCTGTGGGTGTGGACAGAGTACACCCAAGGACACAGGCCTCACTAAAAACTTGTGGACTGGACGATCGTGCAAGGGCACACTGGGCAGTAACAAAGACTATTGTTAAGACTTTGTCCCCAGTGTCTCTGTGGTTTGGGCATGGCACCTGTGACTTTGGTGTGACAGTGTCTACGAGACTGCTTAGCTCCCCCTCCACCGTTTTGCCCAGACTGCACTCTTTTATGCTAGGACTATTGCAGTAGCCTGCAGGCAGCCCCAGTCCATGCTCCATGCTCCTTACTAGCTCTCCCACATATTACTCATCTTGGCTCCCCAGTGCCCTATGACCTGGGCTTGCTGTGTTTTTTCCTTCTCTGATTCCTAGTCGTCTCCAGCTTGGTTCCTCTCTAGGCACTAGAACTTTGTCCATGATTGTCCCCTTTCAGAAGGCCCTCCTGACACTCCCTCCCCTCATGACTTCCCACTCTTTTCATCACATGTGTGGGGGAGGGATGCCTCCTCTGAGGAGCCCCCCATGCTTGCCCTGACCTACACTGTGTCTCCCACCTGTCATCCCAGAGGCTTTCCTGCCTGTCTGCTCTGTGAGCACCTGAAGAGTCTGGCTGTGACTTACCTTGTTCTTCCTGGCCTGGGGGTGGGGTTTGGTGAGTGACTGAGTGAATTCTGGCCAAGGCCTTGAAGACACTGGGCCAGAGTGTGGTCCAAGGGCTGCTACCATTAGTATACCAAGCAGCCCTGGCACTGCCAGCATTCAGGTGTACTAGGGAGGTGGCTCCAGAGAGTGGCTCTTAGTGGTCGCCCCTTGTATGCCAGGTTCCCCCTGGCCAAGATCAGGTGGGCTCTCCGTGATGACTATAAATATGTAAAACACACAGCCTGCTCTTAGCTGTAAACTAAAACTAAGCTAGAAGTGCCCCCCTACCCTGGCCTCTCTTGAGGGGACCACACAGTTATGGCGTGGATGCCCTTGGGAGAACTGGAGGGTGGCTGGACCTGTGCCACACTGTCTCCTTCTTTCGCTCAGCCACCCTGCCTGCCCCTTGACAGCTCACTTCATTACGAACCCCAAATGAACCAAGCCACTGAGCTGTCCCTGGGCCATGCTGGGAGCTGGGGGCTGTTTTTGGGGTGCAGTCTGGGGCAGGGAGGGTCTGGTTGAGGAGCGAGGTAGGTCAGGGTCTGCAGGAAGTCCTCCCTTCACTGCCTTTTCCAACCCTGTTTCCCCTCAGGCAAACCCTGCAAGGATGCTGTTTCTCAGAACAGGAGCCAAGCTGTCCCCAAGGCCAGAGCCCAGAAGTTGCAGGGCAGATCCCTGTCTGAGGACCACTCCCTACCTCAGGGAGCGCCAGCCATAGTCCAATATCCACCTCTGTCTGTCACAGGTCAGCCACAAGCTGCCCAAATCAGAGGGGCTCCTGGGCCTCTGAGGTGGGATTCTGAGGCCCCAGGACCCCTGGCTGGGGAGCAGACTGGCCTTCTCTCCTGGGCCAGCTGCTTCAGTCACTCTAGGGTGACTTGGGGGAGGGAACAACCTGACCCAGGCTTCTGGAGGCTGGGGTTGCCTGACCTCAAAAGGCAGCCCTTCACTTCAGCAAGGTCCAGAGGCAGGTCGCCCCAGGGTGACCCTTCGGGAGCTGAGAGTTCTTTGGAATATATAACCCAAGTCTAGCTGCAGCCCCTTCTCACCCCTCTCCCAAAGGGCCCTGCTCCCTCTCCACCTGCAGCCCAGCCACACCACACCTGCCGCCACCTGCAGGCCGCTGAGGTCACTGCAGCGTTTCCTTGCACAGGTACCACCTCTGGACCTTGGTTTCCCTTGGTGAGGTGCAGGTGATGGAAATTTGAACCAGAGGCTCTGGAGGTCACAGCTCCTCACCTATCAGCATTTGGGAGGGGCTGTCATTGCCTACACAGTGACCCCAAATAAACATGACTAGAAGCAGAGTGTTGGCCACACAGATACTGTTGCCAGCCTAGGTCCTGCTTACACCAGGGAGGCCTGCCCAGGACACACCTGCAGGAGAACCTGCGACTATGGCCCGGATCCCACAGGGCAGAGGCAATGCCAGGGTTTAGGCTGGGGAATTAGAGCTTCCTTTGTGGTGTTGGCAAAACTTTGGGATTACTTTCTGAAGTGGGCATCACTAAAAAATGCCCCAACTGGCTAGGCCTAGGCTAGGCTGGGGCATTGTGGGGGTCAGGGTTCCCTGCTGGTGGGGTGGGAAGGGAGTTGTCAGGTCAGGTCCCCACACCATCACCCTGAGACTCCCATCTTCAGGCTGTGGTCCCAGCTCAGTCATGAGCAGCTCCAGGGAGCTGTGGAACCTATGACACCACTATGGCACCTCAGGGGCCTCGTCTACTAAACAGCACTTCCTGGGTTGCAGTGCAGACTGCTCTGCTGCCAAGTTGTCATCGTCCCTGCACCTCTGCCCTTCTCCAAACCTAATTCTGAGTTAGCACAGTGTTTCCATCTCTGTGTGAACATAGCCACCTGAGAGGGGAGGTGGCCCCATCCACAGCAGGCTCAGCCCTGTCCCTGACCTACGCCCCATTTCCTTCCTCCTGGGCAAGAGCTGGAAGTCTCCCACTCCATATGGAGTCTTTGAAGGCTGGCACGAGATCCTTCAATACATCTCAGTTATATTATTGTAACAAATCATTCAAAATTCCATTTTACAGTTAAATAGTACAGAAGACACACAGTTTACTGTACAAGCAAGTTGTGCATGAAAAACAAACACATCAAGCAAACGATAGTGCAAAGCAGCTTCTGTCCTCCCCTCTCCCTCAGCTCTGGGCACTTTCAGGAAGACATGAGCATGGCAGGTCCCAATGCCTCTGCGTGACAATATGTCACAAAGGAACAGCACCTGTCACCAACATCCCTTGCTTCCTTGTGCTTTCTAGTCTGTGCTCACCTAGCACGTTAGAGCAGCCTTGCAAATAAGGACCCATTTTTATCAGCCCAGGCTGTCTGGACCCCCTGGCGTCACTGCCAGGGGTACAGTGGAGAGGCTGGGCTGATTTACTTCCTATCCCTGCCCCACCAGGGCTTGGGTATTAGGAAGTGGTAGGCATCACATCTGGGGTGGACTACAAAGTGCTGGGCACTGTGAACCCAGACGCCTCCCTTGCTGGCCTAGGCCAGGCCACGCCACGGACTGGGAGTGATGCAGGTAGGAGGGCAGTGGACTTGCAGGTGCTTCCTGAGAAGGGGATGAGAGGCCCCCTGGGAGCAGACAGCTGGCAGGACACCCCAGCTTCAACAGACATGGGGAGTGATTTTCCAGTGAGGGCAGAACAAGAGAAACTGCAGCGGTAGGATGTGTGCAGGATCACCAGGACTTCCTAGCCTGCCAGGGGTGCGTGCGGCTATTGGTACAGATTGGGTTGCACAGCAGGCCCCATGCTACCACAGAAACCATCACTAAGGAGCACTGGAGGGGAGATTTCCACAGCCACATGGGATGCGGCTCAGCTATGCAAAGCCACACGTTGGCCTGCCCTGCTAAGTTTTTTCTTGTACCTTTTTCAGAACTAGAACTGAGACAGGACTCTCTGAGCCTGAGCACTCAGACAAGACCTGTTTTCCCACCTGCTGAATGGAGGGTAGCAAGTGACCTCAGAGCACAGCCGTGCTGCCCATCACAACTCCACGTGGTCCCTTGGACAAGCGAGATCCTAGTGCCTCCCTTGGTCCCCTGCATATAGGAAGTGATGTCTGGACGTGGGATCCTGACAGCCCTCCACACCTGCAGAAGGCAAGGTGTGTGTGTGTGTGGTGGGGGGAGTCTGTCGAAGTTTATCTGGGAGAGACCTTGTTTTAAAATGTTTGATGAAGCTACTTTTTCTAAAATCAGATTTAAAAACTGGTTTTGTTCACACTTCGAGTGCAAACAGGTCAGCGAACTGTGTGTCAGGAGCTGGAAGATGTGGCTGGGGGCAGGGGCACAGCTTGGTGGACCTAGGGGGTCAGGACTGCTGACCTACCCTGATCACTCCCCACTCCAATGCTTTCTGCTAGGATTTATCTGACTTTTGAGTTCTCCAAGAGCACAGAGGGCGAGCGCCTTAGGTGGAAAGTGCACAGAGGGTCCAAGTGTATGGGCCCTTCCTGCTTCAGAGACCCGCCACAACCAGGTCTGCGCTGGTCCTGGGGCCCACAGATAACTGGGATGGGGCAGGGGCCCTCTTGGGTGGTAGGAATTGTGGGGAAACGGGCTGAGGGCTGGTTGGGGTGTGTCTTCATCCCCTCTGCCAGCCATATCCTTCCCCACCTGTGCAGGGAGGGGGAGCCCTGTCGGGTGAGGGGCTTTCCAGTTCTTACTCATGGCTGTCAATGCAGAGGGAGGGCTGGGACCATGGGATGTAGGGTGTCTGAGGAAGGCGGAGGCCTGGGGTTTATCCTGTGGGTGAAGGCTACCTCTCTGGAGCAGAGATGGCCTATGTCACAGAGGCAGGCCTACAATAGCTAGGGCAGTACGGTGGTTCTGGGGAGGTAGCAGGGTGAGATGAGGAAGACAGAGTGGGGGACCTCCGCGCCCTGTCTGTACAATGATGTGGCTGGATGGAAACTCTGGGAGCCGCCTGCCAGCTCCAACCCCTGGTGAGAAGTCCTGCTCCTGCTGAGAGCCTTGGAAGGGGGTGCCGTCCCTGGCGGAGGGCTAGGGTCCTGTGGGCAGTGAGGAGTCCGCTGGAGGGTGGGTGGACAGTCAGTAGGGCCGCCACACGGCCTCGTCCATGCGGCCCGGTGTGCTCAGGGCCGTGGGTGAGTTGCTGTGGCTGCCTTCAGCCTCCACGCCGTCGCCTTGGCCCAGGCTGGGGTTCATGAGGTTGCCAGCAGCCACTGATGTGGCACTGCTGGGACAGGAGGCCAGCATGCGGGTGGGAGAGCGCTCACCACCACCCGCAGCCACCATGGAGAACTGGTAGGAGCCTGAGGAGGCTCCATAGTAGAGGTGGTAGGGCGCAGGGTTGGCCTGGAAGGGGCCGCTCTGGCTCTGCGGGGCCCCAGGGTAGGGCGGTGGGAGGTAGGTGTGGTGGAAGCGGCTGGTGGCTGGCATGCCCGCCACGCTGAGGCTGCTCAGGCTGGTGCCCGAGGGAGTGGCGCTGTAGGGGAAGGCAGCTGACATGGCCCCTGGGTAATGCATCCTGGGATCGGAGAAGCGGCTCTCTGTGAGGGTTGGCAAGGCCGGGAAGGAGCGGTCAAACTGGCGGGGGTCTGGGAACGGGTTCAGGTCCGAGGTGCCTGGAGACAGCAAGAAGGAGAGTCAATGGCAGCCAAGACCACTCAGGGCCTTCTTGAAGTGTGACCTCAGGGCTCTGGTCCACTAGGTCCATGCTGGGCATCTTGGCTCTGCTTTTCTTGCCCAGGACTGCAGAGGGGTTGGAGCCCCATGACTTCCTGGGGAGCAAGTGCAGAGCCCTGCTGGGCCCCCACCCAGAGACAGGAGAAGGGATGGCCCGTCTTCCCTCCCTGAGGCTTCACTAGCTCAGCGGGAGACAGGATGAGGATGGGGCATTAAGACCTGACAAGACCACCCATGTGAAAGCATCTCCAAAGGCCCATGAGACCGGGAGCTGGACCCCACTTCTGAAGATGCGGAAACTGAGGCAGAGAGAAAGGCCTGTTTCACCATAGCCCCTCTGCTTCTTGCTGGGGCATGTGTGTGAGTGGATGTGCATGCCCTCGGTGCGCCTCTCCTGCCCAGGTGCAGCTCAGTTGGGTTCTGGCCCTGTCCCGGTCACAGAAATGGCCAGCCAGACCCTGAGCTGGCTTCCTGGGAACTTGGCTCCTCAACTGGGTGTAAGACAAGAGTGTTCCAGCCTGTATGCTTACTTTCATAATCTCAGACCCCAAACCTCAGCATTCAAATGGCCTCTGGGACCAAGTCTAACCCCAGTGGTGGGAAAATGGAGGCCCAGACAGGGAGAGGCACAAAGGCTCACAGAACACACCAGATCTAGTACAAAACCCTAGGGTTCTGGTCCTGAGGTCAAACTATACTGTGTCAAAGCTAGCTGTGTGGCCTGTGCAGCCTGATAGCTACCCTAGTTTTGACTCTTACTAGCTGTATTTGGGCAAGTCACTTAACCTCTCTGTGCATCAGTTTCTCAGGGACCATACCAATTTGTAAGGATTCAGTTAGCTGATAGGTTTAAAGTGTTTACGGTAGAGCTGGGCACAGAGCAAATACTACACTGCCGTAGTTGCTGTGACATGTGTTGCTCTGGAGAACTGGCCCACTCAGGCCCCAGAAAACAAAGCCCTGACCTGGGGCCACCTTTGTACTCTGGCAGTAGTGGTCCACAGATGAAGCCTGTATGGTTCCAATCCTCTGTTTGTCCCACCAAAGACTCAGGGCCAGCAGAGGACCCTGGAGACCAAGCTTCATCCCCCGGCTCAGCAGGGCTGCTGTCAGCTCTGGTGGGTACTGCTGGCCATGACAAATTCAGGCCGCCTGCTTTTTCAGCTCTGCCTGAGGTGCTAGGTAACCTCAGGTAACACTTGTCACTTCTTGCAGTCAGCTGGGCATACTTCCTTTAGTAGGGTTTCTGGTCCTGCCTGTGGATCACAATGGAGGGCTGCCCTGGCTAAAGGCGGGGAGATGGGGGCAGGGTTCCAGGCAGCTGGAGCCTTCTAGAAGGTCTGGTCCCCTCCCTAGTAGGTCGCTGGCTGACAAGTCTGTCTTGAAGCCCAGGTGGCAGAGGGCAGCTGGCACCCACCTGTACCCAGAAGTCCTGAGGAAAGGGTGCTCCAAGCCCAGACAAGGTGGGCAGCTGCTCCGTACTGAGTAGAGTGGGGGCAGATGCTGCCCACCTGAGAGAACCCTGTTCTCAAGCCAAAGGAACCCAAGCAGGGACTGGGATTCGACAGCAGGGTGGCCCTGGGAACACAGGCCCTGTAGTAGAGGGCCTGCCAGGACCTGTCATTGTCCCCTCCTGGAGGCTGCCACCTCTTCTCTGGAGGGTTAGTACCTGCCCAAGGCACTCCCCAGTCCCCTCAACAGCTTCCTCAGGCTCCTATGCCCACCCCTAGCCTCACAACCCCAGGAAACCCGAGCTGCGGGGGCCACTGTCCAGCAGCCAATCCTAACAGTGGGGAGAAATGTTTATTTTCTTCTCCAAATTGCCCCGGCTGGTGTGTGGTGCTGAATGGGCCCTTTGAGCTGTGAGAAGCCCCCATTGTGGGCAGCTGCAGCTGCTGGGGGGCAGGAGCTAAGTATGGAGGGGCTGGGGCCTTGGCATTGCCTGCTAGTGACCAAAGCTGGAAGGGGGGTGGTCAAAGCTAATAACAGGCACCAAGAAAAGTATGGGGACAGGCCTGGGGAGGGGGCTGCCTGTGGCCCCCTAGTTGGGGATAGCTAACGAGGGGCTGGGGGCCCCATCTCAGGATACAGTAGCAGAAGGACTGGGTCAACCACTGTCCCACACAGGCCAGGCTTCCTGTCCTTCCAGCCTGAGTAGATACAGGGACTCTGTCTGCTTCCGGGTGGTCAGGACTGCTTCTGGCTCCCAAGGGCACTGATCCCCAAGTCATGCCATGCCAACTGTGGAAGGGCAGACATGGGCTCTCCCTCCACGGAGCTGATCACAGGAAGCCACTGTTCACCCCCTCGCTGGATCTGGGGTGTGTGTGGCTGGGTTCCACACATTGAAGCCTGGCTCTGCCCAGGGCAGGGAGGCCTGGCATGTTGGGTTGCTGTGACTTGCAGATGCTGGCCTGGGAGAGCAAGAGAGGAACAGCTCCTGGGAAGGGGTGGGCATGAGCTGTGTGCAAGAACACCTCCCAACACCTCCTGAGGCTAGACCTTACCTGGCAGTGCCCAGGGATCGAATCTGTCAGCCTGTGGGCTCAGGCAGGATGGACATGAGATGGACCTAACACCTCTCCCCACCTTGGGCTCAGATTCCTGAGCCTGGGCAAGAGGGGAGGCGGTTTCCTTCACTCGGAGGGGCCCCATGACTAGAGGCCATGGCAAGGGCCAGGCAAGGCCTCTCTCTGCAGAGACCCAGAATCCCTGGCTAGGCATAGCATGAGGAAGAGGACAGAAGGCAGGGGACAAGAACTAGCTCTGGGCCTTCCTGCTCTGGGCCTCTTCTCAGGCCTTCAGAAGAATACAACATTCTTCAGGGACTTTGGACCCGGTCACTGATGGGCTGTGACCCAAGGGTGGCCTGAACCTTTTCAGCCTGAATTCACTCACCTGCCACATGGGTCCTAAGCAGGTTCAGATGAGCCGAGTGGGAAGGGGCACGGCAGCAGACTGCCCTTTAGCCTTGGGCCAGACCTGCAGCTGGGTGCCTGCCACTGCCTGGCCCTAGTGTCAGCTGCACTCAGTCTCCTGTGCCCCAGCTTACCAGCCGAGCACTCAGAGACCAGGACAGAGGTGTGGCAGCTGACACTGGCTAAGCACATACCCTGAGTCTTGCACCTGTCCTGGGCCTAATGTTAAGCTGCCTCATCTGGGCAGTGCCGACAGATCAGGCCTGGGCCTCCCTGATTGGGAGGAGACTCTGGCAAAGGCTGTGCCTTTCCAGGGACCCACTCCACTCTGCCTCGCTTTCTGATAAGGAAGCCAAGGCCACACTGCGCACAGTGTGGACGTCTCTGTTCTTACTCTGGGGGCAAGTCATGCCCAAGTATAACAGAGGCACTTCAGGATTAACCCCATGTCCCCAGGGAACAGTGTGAGCTCTGGAGGGCAGGGGCTGTTTCTGTTCAGGCTGACCCCTGGGGCCAGGTACCTTGTGAGTCAATAAATGTTTGCTAAGTGAATGAGCAAAGGCCTGGCACAGAGTGGACCTCCAGGGATATCCACAGATAGAGACCAGGCCATGGCATCTCCACAGAACAAAGGCACAGAGTCACCTTTCAGAGGGGCTTGCTCTGGGGCAGGTGGGCTCTGCCCTGGTTCTACTCCCCTGCCTGCAACAGCCCCCACTCTTCTGTACCTTGGATTGGGGTCTGGGCCTGGCTGCTGAAGTGGCTTGTGGTGCTGAGTGAGCCGCGGGGGCTGGGCGTGCTCGGTGTCCCTCGCATGCGCAGGTCCCCAAAGCGCTCTGGGAACGCCTTGGTCTGGTCTTCTATTTTCTGCCGGTGCCCTGTGCAGCAGGAAGAATGCATCAGCCACCAGTTCCTCGGTCTCCGGGGACAGAGAAATGTCTCGAATGCGGGTAAGTTCTGCCTGAGGTCTAGCCTTAGCCTCTGCGGGGAGAGCCCTGAGGTCACCACTCACCTTCTGCAAGGTGTTCAGACTTTTCTGAACAGAAAATGGTGATGACGTGTTACAGCAGGGCTGCCTGTGTGGCCGCTAAGTGCGTGAGTGGGAAGGGTATTCTCGTGCTACATGTGGGACCCTGACAGAGGTTCCAGGTCACACAGGCAGTAAGCCATGAAGCTGAGACTCAAACTCTAGGCTGAGATCAAGCCTGTGATCTAACCTTCACAACATGGTTTGACAAAAGGGGAAACTGAAGCAACAGGCCTGAGAAAGTGGCTTAAGCAAGGGAGGCAGAAGAACAGTGGGGGGAGGGGCTTGCTACCCTATGTCCCCCACAGGACCCCACCCTCCACTCAGCCAGCAAGAGCAAGAGGCCCAGGGAAGGGAGTTCCCTGCTCCTGAGCCAGCCTGGGGACCATCACTTCCTCCTCTGCGGGCCTCAGATGGAGGGGATGCCCACCAGGGTGCTAGGCAGAGGCTTGGGCACCTGAATGACAGGCTGGACTCTTACCCCTGCCTGGAAGCTGGGGCCAGGGGACCAGCGCACTGGGTATGAGGTGTCACATTCGGAGGGCACCACAATCGCTTCCTGCCATCCCTCTGCATGGCCCACCAGCAGGAAGCCTAGCCTTGCCCAGCCCCCTAAGTGCTAGCAGGTCATGGAGGCCAGGTGAGAGCCCAGGGCCTCCCGTCACACACACATTTTCAATGACTCATCCTTCATCTCACAAGCAACACGTGACATTTACAAAAATCAAAACACTGCAGATAGGCTCTGTCACCTCCCCAGACCCCCCTACAGTAGTCCCTACCACAGCCAGTTTTTGGTTCTATGTGCGTGGAAAAGAGAGAGGAAGATTCTCATGGAACTTTCTAGAATGACCTCAGCTGGGGATATCATTCTGTCACTTCCCTTGTGAGCCATGTACCTTGGAGCTCAAGCTCAGGTTCCATGTCTGTGAAATGGGGAGTCACCAGTCTTACATGGCTTCCTGGGGCGGTGAGATGGCCCTGATACCAGATGTCCCTCCATCCTGCTTGCCACATCCCCTCTGTTCCTTTCCTGGATGGACATTTAGTTTGTTTCCAAATATTCCCTTTGATCTCTTATACACACTTCTCCCAGGAAGGGCCCTGTTCATAACCCCATGTCTAAGGTCCCTCTAGGGTCCACTCCAAACTGAACTAAACCTTTGGAAGGCCACACACTCCTGGGTTCTACCAGTCAGTTGAATATTCAGCCTTTGGCCCATTGCTTCCACTACCTCCAAGAGGACTACAGATCGGAGAGGCATGGAAGCTTGTCTGAGGTTACACAGTAAAGGAAAATGGTAGGATATCTTGGACCTGGGCCTTTTTAGAAAGGTGTGGACAGGAGACTAAACAGGAGGAAAAGTGGCTGAGTCCCTGGTCTGCAGTGACATGGAATTTTCTACACTGACATAGAGGGGGTGAAGTAGAACTCCTCACTGTTCCCCTGGAGTGGACAGGTGGCTGCAGGCTGTACACTGTGAAGTAACTGCTGACCACTGCTGGGAGGGAGGGGAAGAGGTGGAGCCTCAGAAGGGGACAAGGAGGATTCTGGTACCCGCAGGTTGTTAGCTAAGATTCCCAACCATCCCTGCTCAAGCTGAAATGGGTATCCAAGAACCTCAGAAACGGAGCAGGGGTCCTGGGAGAACCAGGGAACCCTGCTGTCTTCCAATTGGGCCCTGGCTGTGGGAATGAAGCCACTTAGCCTTCAGTGCCCTGACCTGAGACGCTTGGCAACAAAGGGGAGAACATGGATTTGGGGTGAGTTTGGCAGGAACTGGTGCTGTCACTTAATTGAGGTTAGTGGGAGGGGTGGGGACTGAGGCCACAGAGTGGCTTGGCCTCGTAGAGGGCACCTGATTGGTGTCCAGGTGGGGTGGCCATTGACTCCAGGCTTCCCATTCCAGGCTCAGTGCTCAGCCCTGCCAGGCCTCAGAGCAAATGCCATTGGCCAGCTCTGGGCCACTGTAAATGGCAGGAGACATGGATAAGCTGGGGGACAATAAAGTCAGAGTAATCTCAACAGGCAGGAAGCCCACCGGATGAACGTGGAGCCCACAGATTGACCTGACGGCAGCTTGGGTACGAAGGATCCGGGTGTCTTAGTTAACCATAAGCTCCAAGTGAGCCAATGGGGCTCAGAGATGCTGCTGCCAAACCTCAGGCCTTGTCACAATCGTCACTGGTGGACAACATCCCCTGTTTCTGAGTCACACCATGTACAGAGTGTTTACAATGATGCCTGCAGCCTGAGAAATGAAGGCAGAGTTCACAGGCAGCCGGGTTTGAGTGTGTAGCCTGAGGCCTCACTCCTTCCCCACCTCAAGCTGTGGTGTCCATCCCACTGCCTCCCAGGGGTATAGGCCCTGGCCTCACACAATCTGTGCACAGCTCCCAACCCCATGATCACCACTAATGTGACTATCACCGTACCCCTGCTTGTGCCCCAGGGACGCAGACTAGGCACTGAGACCAGAATGATGACCTTGTATCTAGATGGAACAGAGCCAGAATGGCAGGGCTGAATTCACACCCAGCTCCCCAACTCCAGGTCCAGTGCTCCTCTCTGACGTTTTCCTTTTTGCTCCCACTGTGGCTATGACAAGCCTGATGTTGGTGGCTGGCCCTAGCCTGGCTAAGTGTCAGGGAAAACGGCCCAGGCCCCCCACCCCATGCTGCTTTGCCTTCGGGAGGGTGACTTCCTGGAGCAGGGCAGCTGCCGTGGTACGCCACGTGGGGAATTGCTTCCCTGTGGCTGTGCAGCACTGGAGCCACCACCAGGGAGGGGCAAAGGGGAGCCCAGGCGGCCTCATGTGGCCAGGGCGCCAGAGAGTCTCAGAGCCCCGGGCTGACTCCTCATACTGCGAGTGGGACGAACGGAAGTGCCTGTGCCCAAGAGGACATGGGCCACAGAAAAGCCTCTTTCATTCAGTGAGAGCTAGGCAGGGCTGGCCCTACTCACCAGGTCTCCTGGGGCCTTGCCCTTCTGTGCTCAGTGCCTCAGTTTCTCTCTGCACAGCCCGTATGAGTCCCCCTCCCTCAGGAAGTCCCTGACTTAAGATCATAAGCATCCACTGCTGGTCTGACTGGCCACGCCACCCAGAAGAAAAGGCCAGTGGCTCCTCCAGGGCCACCTATCACCTCCACTGCTGCTGTGCTCAGTTTCTCAAATCATCTCTGTCTCCTGCTTCAGAGCTCCTGCTCAGGACAGTCTGAGCCCAGGACTGTTCTTAAAAGCAGGAGTGGAAATACAAAATCTGCTGCCCTACCACAGTGTCTGAGCAGCTTCCAGGCTTGTCACTTCCTCTTGAAAACTCCCTACAACGGAAGGGAAGGTCATCACGTTCCCATTCTACAGGTGAGGAAACAGAGGCTTGAGACAGCCAGTGATGTGTTCACAGGAGGCATCTGGGCCACCTCCTCTCCCAGGAGCCTCTCAGGAAAATCAGGGCCTTCACACAGGTGCTAGGGTTCAGCCCTGGCTAGGACCAGGGCTGCTTTCTGCAAGGCCACAAGGTAGGGCCTGGGCAGAGTAGGAAGAGAGGGTCTTAGTGAACTCCAGTGGGGTGGAGCTCAGGTGGAAAGTCTGTCTCCAATCACACCCTGCTGTAGCCCACCAAGTCCTCTCCTCTGGGTCTCAGGTTCCACATCTGTGAAGTAGTCATCAGCCTGTCTAACCGAGGGGGTGGATGGGCTGGAGGACAGATCACAAGACCTGGCGGTAGTGAATGGCTATGGGAAGCCCCTTCAGGTCTGTGGGGCCAAGCTTGGGCTGTCCACCAGCCCCAGCAGCAGGGGGCAGACCACAGATAGCAACCCCAGCACAGTTCTGGTTAGTGCCCAGGCCCCTCACTTATTGGGAACAGATCACAGTCTGCTCTGCTAAGTGCCTACTGGCCTCAGGCCCACGGCAGGCAGCCATTACTTCCTGGTGGTCCTAGGCAAGTCACTCTTCCTTTGGGCCTCAGTTTCTTCATCTACAAAGTGGGGACCACACACTAGGACCCCCAAGGTTGAGGGTAGGTTTGAGAAGTACACAGCCTATAGGGTTAGCCTTCAGGGAAGGCATGTGGGCCCAGGGGAACAGTACTTCTCCATATAGCTGTGAAGTGACAACACCCCCACCCCCAGCTGACCTTGCAGATAGAGGAAAAGGGTCAAAGCAGGGCACGGAATGCTGGGGCACTTCAGGCTTGGCAACTTGCCCAAGTATACTACCATTCCCAGGGTGCTTCCTCGTCATAGTTGGCCACAGTTCCCACCACCTGCCAGATCCTAATGCTTCTGGGGAGCCAAGAGGCCACAGGGGCCAGCCCCTGCCTTTCTGCTGCCACCCAAGGTCCTGTGAGGCCCTGTGAAGGCCTCCAACCATTGTAGCAGGCATCATGATGGGCCAGGCAGGCCACTCTTATCATCTGCCCCCTCCCCTTCCACCTTACAGACGGGAAAGTGGACGACCGTGGTAAAGGTCACAGCGAGAGTCAAAGCCAGAGTGCTCGTGTTCCATGTTGCTCTCCCAAGAGGAGAGCTGGGCCACCTGGCTGTGGGCTCCAGCTGGCAAGAGGTCAGTTCTGAGTTGGGCCCCTGAACAGGTGGAAGGGGAGCAGCTCACAGGGCCCCAGGAACTGTGTCCTCTGCCAGGCAACAATGTGAGCCCCAGTCACCGCCCTATGCCCATCCAAAGCAGTTCGGCAGCCTCCATGGCTCAGACACAGCAGCCACTGTCTGCTGGCTGTGAGGCTGGTGAGCGCCTGGCCTCTGCGGCCTGTCAGGAGATTTACACCGGACTGGACTCAGAACAGCCGCATGGAATGGCAGGCGGGTGCTGGCCCGGGGTGGTCTGCCGTGAATCGGCCCCCTGTGAGCAGATGAAAGCCAGTGGTGGCTGGGCAGGGAAGCTGGCTGGCTGGGGGCCAGGGCTGGGAGGCAGCAGCTCCCTCCCAGGGCTGCAACTGGGGCTTCCAGGCCTGGCCTTGATTAGGGCACCAGGGAGGTCTGAGGTTAACCCTTTCCCTCCCACTGGGCTGCTCCCAGCTCCCCTTGGGCCTGCTTCTCCTTGGGATGCTCCTGGGCAGCGGGGACCTCAAGCCCCAGGGTCAGCTCCCTGGCCTGGGAGTCCTTTCCTCAGCTTCCCGAAGTGCAGTAGGGTCCCAGGACACACCCAGCACTCCAGCACTCTCTAACACCCAGTGACAGCTCAGGTCACTCTTCCCCACCTTGCTGCTGCCCCTCACTTCCTTCAGGCCCCTCAAACCTCACCTCCTCAGGAGCTCCTCCTTCTCTCCCTCCACCCTCCTGCAAGACTCCTCCAAGCTTTGCTTGTCATCACTGGACTTCTGCTACCTACAGTTAAATGAGCTAATTACCTGTTTACTTTTTTTATTTCTCAAATTGATGCTGAGCACTCCGAACAAGAATTCGGCAGAGAAGAGAGAAGAATCTGTGTTCTGTGGACCATATGGAGCAGTGTGGGGTGAGGGATGAATAATAAAGAGGCAAGGTAGAGAGCCACACAGCCTTTGGAAGGTAAGTGCTCCAGGCAGAATGAAGGGGGAGGTGAGGATGTGCTTGTGTGACCTGAAGCAGGGTTGCCTGGCTGAGGAGGTTGAGTAATGGCTACAGTGTAGGTATGAGGGACCCCTGCATTTGGGGGTGTCCGGGAGTGTGCCTGGCCAGCGTGGCGAGATAAAGAGGATGCAGGAGAGGAAGAGAGACAGGTCATAGGCACAGATTAGGCAAGACTAGCAAGGCCATGGTAACTGACACTCGGGTGGGAGCCCGTAGGGCTGGGTCATGATAGTGTTCTGAGCACATGGAACAGTGCCTGACAGATGGTGGGTGCCCAGGAAAGCATTTGCTAAAATCACTCTAGGTATGTTATAGGGCCCAGGAAGGACCTGGGACCTGGGCCTTACCCTTTCAGTACCAGTACCTGCTAAACCTGGGATGGAGTTAGCTGTTTCCAAACCATGATTACCACCAGCATTGCCAGGCGCAGTACTAACTCCCGCCCTGATCCTGGATCCAGTTCAGCAGTCTGCCTTTTAACCAGCCCCCAGCAACTCAGAGGGACATCAGCACTGAGAACCTCAGAAACCAAGGCCACACAGGCAGGAAGCCACCAAGCGAGCCTCAGACCCAGCTGGCCACCTGGCTGTAGGTTGGGCACGCTCTGCAGGGCACCAGAGGGGAACGACTGAGCCACAGAACCCACAGCTGGGCCTCAGGGACCCTCAGACTCCCTCTCCTGTGCTCTAGTCCTGCTCCCACCCTACCTCACCCTGCACCACTGATGGCTCAGACCTCACAGGGGGCCAGAGTGCAAAGCAGGAAAAAGCCTGGAAAGGAAATTCTAGAGTGCAGGAGGCTTGGGACAGTCCCTGAGGGCTGCTGGGCACTTCCTGGGGGCCAGGCACCCGAAACTCACTGAACCTCATAGCTCCCCAAAGCACACAGGAACACCTCCCCCTTCCCCCCCCGCCACTTTCCAGACCTAACACAGTCTGGAAAGCATGGCTCTGCCATGCCTGTCTCCCTTGTTGTTGGTGACTGGCAATTCATGGAAGCTTTATAAATGGCCTTGGCCTTTTCCTTCTTCTATACAGGGAAACTGAGGGCAGGAAAAGGGAAGAATTTGTCCAAAGTCCCAGACTGAAGTCCAGGTTGGGACTGGATCCCGAAGTACTGGCTCACCACTACCACTCTGATCTTGGGGCCAAGGGCAGGAAAGAGTACATCCTAAGGATGGGGCATTTGGAGATAGATGTCTTCCACCCCCACTCTGGTCCATGAGCTTCTGCTAAAACTTTATTTGGACAAGTCACTTTAATACTGCTGATCTGACTGGACACTGGTAACTCTCACCTGTAATCCTAGCTACTCAGGAGGCAGAGATCAGGAGGATCATGGTTCAAAGCCAGCCTGGGCAAACTGTTCATGAAAGCCTATCTCGAAAAACCCCATCACAAGAAAGGGCTGGTGGAATGGCTTGAGGTGTAGGCCCTGAGTTCAAACCCCAGTACTACAAAATAACAACAAAAACAACAATAACAAAAAACTGGTGGTCTGGCCTCTGCCAAAGCCCAGATAGTGACACCAGAGTGTCTTAGGACACACCAGCAATCCTGGCCTCTGACTCTGGCTTGTTTTGTTTCTTAGCCTGTTTTCTTTCTCTTCCTCTTGTTACCTGTCTTCTTTTGACCCTAGCTGTCTAGTCCTGTGCAGCTCTGCCCCTAGCAGCAATTCCCCAGAAGGAGCTGTCTCAGGCCCAGGTCCCCAGGAGAGAAGGACAGCCAGGATTCACCCAGGGCTCCGGAGGGCAAAGCAGGGCCTTGGAGGGGGGGACAGCCCTGGGCTGGACAGGCTGAATGTGGAGGGCCCTGAAGGATGCCAGGCACTGTCTGATCCCTTGGGACCTTTCCTCCTACCCCCTAGACCCCCTGCTCATGTACCTCTGGGAGTGGGGTGCTCCTTATTTTCTGGAGTGACCTTAAGCGCCACATCCTCATGCTAAGCCCCACCCTGGCCTGTCCACATAGAGGCCTAACCTGGAGATGTGGGGCAGGACTGACTCCTTCAGTGAGGTTTTACACGGTGCTGAGTGCTAAGAGTTGGGTGGGTAGGGAAAGGCACAGGGACCAGTGACTCACAGGGACCTTCTAGGTGGGTGGCATCATCCCCCCTTCATGAAGGAGCAGGCAGAGGCCCAGAGGCCAAGGACCTCCCAAGGTCACACAGGGAGTGACAGTCCTGAAAAGGCCATCGGTTACCTCTTAGAAATCCTGTGACTATTTTACACAGATTTAACTGTCATCTGCTCATAACAGCACCACAAAGTAGCTAGCTGCTTTTATGAACCCATTTTTAAGACAAGAAAACTGAGGCAAAGAGGTGACTTGTCTGAAGTCTAATAGTCAGGCAGCTGGCTCAGAATTTACTCTCTGTACCACAGTGGCCTGTGGATCACAATGGCTTCCCACACATTGCCACCTTCAAGACTCCTGGGCTCCCTGACCTGGTTCCCAGATGACAAAACAGACCAGAAAGGAGATGTGACCATCTAGGGCCAAGGGCATGAGCCTACCCATGTCACTGCTCAAGCAGGAAGGGGAAGGCAGGAGTCAGGCCAAAGGAGGTGCTGCCTGGGAGCTAATGACATAGACTGATGTCCATGTATAGGAGCACAGGGCACAGAGGCAGTGGCCCCTGGGGGCCAGGAAGGGACCTTTCCTAGCCCAGCTCTGCATCCATCCTGAGTGGACAGCTTAGGACTGGGGATGCAGCTCAGTGGAAGAGCACTCACCTAGCATACGTGAGACCCTGGGTTCGTTCCCCAGTACCACAAGAACAAACCAACCCAGATGAGTGGACAGCCCAGAAAGGGGATAGGTGGACCCCCGACTCTCAGGGCCAGGCCAGGTCACCCCTCTCCAATGTGACACTAGCATAGGCCACACTCTCCATCTGAGCCTCCTAGGCACTGAGTAGTGGCACCAGGAGCCTGCCCTGCCCTCCTGCTTTAGACCTGTTCAGCTCCAATGGAGCCCATGTTGGGGAAGCCCAAGAGCCAGAGGAGCGCCTCCCTACCCCCACCTGCACACATACTAGCACCATATGAGGTTTCTGCCAGCACCCAGTGTCCTGGACCATCTCCTCTTGGGAAGGAGGCAATTCTTTGGCTCAGCTGTCATAGACTCCCATGCAATAACAAGTGTGAGAGGATTTTCTAAACTGCAAAAGATCCCAGTTAGAAAGAAAGAGAGGGACAGGTCAGCTCTTGACAGGCCAAGTGCCTGGGCAGAGAGGTTCAGACAGAGTCCTGGGATCAGATCAGGACGGAGCCAGTCCAGAGCTGGCTGCTGGTTCTTATTTCATTCATTCAGTGAACACAAACCTGGGACCACCCCTCCAGCTTCCAGCCCTAATCAGCAAAGTCCAGGCCTGCAGCAGGCAGAAGGAACTAGACACCGATTCCCTGATGGGTGGAGACTCCTGCACACTGTAGGTGTTCAAGACGTTTTTGCAGAATCAAATTTGCATTCCTGATGTGGTCCGTGTAGGTCCTAGGGCCAGAGTGCCTGGGCTCTGTAACCTGAGCAAGTCCCAGGAGGGGAGCTGGTCTCAAAGCACAGCCACAGCTGGAGTGGCTTCTGCCTTCTGGTCACTGTCCACTGACCATCCTCATTCCCTGATGGAGGAAGCTGGGGTATAGCCTGAACTTGGCCCAACCTCTGCCTCAAAACCCTCACTGAATCTGAAGCTGCTTCCACCCTTCTCCTTTCCATGTCCCTGCTAGCTGATTCCCCCCCTCATCCGGCTATCACACCAGGGAGGAGGTGAGCCATCCTGTTGGCTTGGCCACTCAGTCCTTTCCCTCACTTCTTGCAGTTTGGGGTTAAGAATAGAAGGTTTGCCAGCAAGCACACGAGGTAGAGGAGGTGGTGCAGAGCTGAGGACGGAGACCCCAGCAGTATTCCAGGGACCCAGGGTTGCCTATCTGACCTTGCCGCTGCCCTTCACTCACTGGAACCTCTGCCCTTGTCCAGTGCTTGGTGGCACTTACGTCTGGGCTCCCGGGGTCCATCCACGGTGACCTTGATGGCTCGGTGGTAGGTGGCCACTTGGGTGGGGTTGGTGAACACTGTGATGGTCAGTGTGAAGCTCTTCCCTGAGGGGAGAAAGGCAGGAGGTTGGGCCTGGCATTGTCACAACCCCTGATTACCCACCTATACCCCACCACAGAGCCCTGACTTTCAGGAAGGGCCACAGGAAGGGCCTCCCCTTGAACCCAGAAGGAGAAGGGGGGCCTGGGTAAAGTTAAGCTGCTGGGCTTGATCTTCAAGGCCCCTGGGGGGTCCATCACCTTCTTACCACCATGATCTTCCCCACCTTCTGTCTTCTTGGTCTTCCTTTGTGCTATTTTTTCTATTCAGGGACCCACATAATTTTGGGGTAGGGAGCATGGATGGTTGTGTGTGTGTGTATACATATATACGTGTATATCTATATCTATTTATATATATATGTACACAAATTTTCCCTGAAATTGGAGATCTTTGTAGAAAAATATGAGAATATAGAAAATGTGAGGAGAAAGAGGAGGAGAAGTCCACTGGCCAGAGAGAAACCCCATTACCATTTGGGGATTTTCACCTTTTTGCATGGACATACATATTTAGACAGTAGCAGTGGTACTAAAATATGTATTTTCATGCCCTATTTTTTTTTTAATTTAACATCACATCAGAAGCACTTTCCATGTCATTAAAAATTCTTCATAAACTTTGTTTCTTAATGGCTGCAAAGTATTTCAGTGTGGAAGCCTCATCTTTTATTTATCCACCTCCTGATGTCGGCGCTAATTTCTTACTGCTGTGTGCAGCCAGAGCTGGAAAGGACCGAGCTGGGAGCTGCAGACGTTTCATTTGTAGACACAACTGTTATTTCCAGAACCCTGTTCTATTTTTAGATAGACATTTGGCTCCAAAGTCTCCATTCAAAATTCCTGAGAGGGGGAAAAGACTTTTAAAATAATGCCTTTTTTTTCACCATTTAAAATAAAATAAAATGAAAATGACCTTCTGTTTATAAAAATCTTTGTCTGCATCTCTGCTTATTTTCTCAGAATAGATTCCAAGAAGTGGTGAGCGCTCGCATTGCATCAGAGGGCAGGGACTGACGCGGGTGTTGATCTCTGGGAGCAAAATGACTCTCCAGAGATTTACGGGGCATCATGAGTGGTGTGAGGCATCACCCAAGTGCCATCAGCTCGGTGACAGTGTCTATCAAGATGGAAGATCTTTAAACTCTCTTGAAGATCTCTGTTTGCCTTTCTCCTATTATTAGTGAGACTGAAACTTTTTATACCATCATTATCTGTCATAATTCAACACAAGTTATTGCTTCATGTTTTTTACATTTTCCTGTTGGGGCATTTGAAAGCTGCTGTGTGTGAAGTTAACACTCTCCCTGCTGTCTTTGGGGCAGTTGGTCCCCCGGCCAGTCTCATTTCACTTTCTAATAGCAAGCTGTTCTAGTTCTAGCTCTCATTAGCGACTTCTACCGTTTTTATTTAGACAGGTTTCACCATACAGGGAGGAGAAACAGGCTTGCTTTCAACAAAGCGCTGGCTTCAGTGATATCTTTGATTGGTCTGGGGATTGACTGGTAGTCTGGTCTAAGGCAAGGGTTTCCTCTAAGAACAACCCAAATTTCCTAGCACTTTGGTAAGCGCTGTCTCCCCACCCTCTGTACTCTCTTACACCCCAAAGCTTTGGGTCAGACCTCACCTCCTTCTACTCTGTTCTGTGTATCAGCTGTCTCTGGGACTGTTGCAGGTCTGAGCTCCCTGAGGGAAGGGCCTGGTGCACCTGCCTCTCCTGGGCTGGCCCTCAGTGGTGCTAGGGAGGCTTCCATGTGTTCATCCTGGGGTCCTGCCAACAGTGTTTCCAGGCATGTGGCAGGTTTCAACAATCCCTCTTTACAGGTGAGGGGTGACACTCAGGGTAGGGCAAGATCTTATGGGCTCTTTGCACAGGTAAAAATTCTAGCCTAGAAACAGGAGACACCTGAACAAAATTAAACCTGTCAGGCAGAAGGGCTGCCTAGAGAACTCGGGACTTCTGGGAGGCAAGGGGGAGTCCAAAAGTAGGAGCAGTAGAGCTGAGGCCCCCTGTGCACTCTGGGGCTTTTCTGGAGATATTTTCTAAGCCAGCCAGCTGACGCTGGGACAGAAATGCTGAGGCACCTGTCCCTAGAGCTCTGAGTCAGAACAAACCTGGCCCCTCACTCTCAGGCCAATGCGGGAGAAGCCACATGACTTGTGGCTCCACAAACTGCCAAAGGGGGGAAGCACCGCGCAGCTGGCCTCAGACTCCCTGGATGTTCCTTCTCTCCCCTGAGGTTCTTTCCCTCCCACAGCCTCCTCCGCAACCAGCCAGGCACTGGTGTGTAGGGAGACCTTCCCACCACCTCCGTGGTTCTAGGGCCAGGCTGATGGAGGAGTCAAGCCACTGTGATCCAGACACTGAGGATCAGCAGCCCCCTGGCCCCTGTAACCGCAGCCCTGGCCCACGGCAAATGCTCCCTCAAGTCTGACGTCACCTTCTTACTGAGGTTTTGCCTTGGTTCCTGAATTGAAAGTAGGTATTTTGGGGCCAGGGTGTGGTTCAGAGGTACTGTGCTTGACGAGAAGGCTCTAGACCCTGGGTTCTATCCCTGGCATGGCAAAAAATAAGTAAGTAAATAAATGAATAAAGCAGGCATTTTAACCTGGCTTCCATGGGGGACCGTTCCTAACCTCTAACTGAAGTACAGCCTCTCTTGAGCACCAGCAGTACCTGTGACCTTGTCATCCACAGACAGCTCAGGTATTTACATATCACATTGCAGCCCCTGCAGATTTCTCTAAATACCCTTTTTATGTTCGTCACAACCTCAAAATCATGGTTGTCATTAGACCCACTGCTAGATCTTGTTATTTAATACACTAAACAAAGCAGGATATTTATCACAACTTCTTAAGCATCCTGCGGTTTTCACAAAGCTGGTTCCCACTGCAAGCCTTCGTGTTTGCTCATGCCGAAGCCACTGAAGCCACTGGATCCAGAGACCGCAGGGCGCTCCCTCTCCCTCCTCCCTCTGGCTCCCTGGCCCCGAGCGCATTTCCCTAAGACCCTCATCATTTTTAACGACTCCTCTACTTATTTATTTTGTGTCCCTCCACCAAATGATAAGCTCCTGGGTCGGGGGGTTAGAATTTTTGTCTTGCTCACTGCTGTGTCCTCAACCCCCAGGACAGCATCCAACACATAATAGATGTTTGACAAATTTGTTAAATGCAGTAAGAGCAGCATCACTGCTGTCGTTTTAGAGATGAAGAAAGTGAGGCTCACAGAGGGGCAGGGAGTGGACCAGGTCACACAGTACGCAGGCAGGACTCAGGAGGTCAGAATGTGCTGGAGCTGCCCCTCTACCCAGGTACTCAAGCCCTGTGAGAAGCCACCTCCGCCACCCCCTGCACCAGACAGCAAACCACATGCTATTGCTGAGGTCACCGGTATGTCTCAACAGTGTCCTCCCAGTTCCCAGGACTGTAACTACCCCTCCCAGGTATCCCCAGGGTGTGTGTGTTGGGGGGGCAGCACAGGAGTGGAGGGGCAGAGACCCAGAGAACCAAGGGAGGGAGAAGTCATCTCCCTGAGTGCTCCAGCTCTCCCTGGGCCTGCCCTGCTCTCTCTCATCTCTTGGCCTCCTGGAGCAGGATGTCAAGAAGACAAAGAAGGTAGACAGCTCTGCAGGAGCCCAGCCAGCATGAAATGGTACTGAGTCCAGGGGCTGCAATCTAGGAACTCTGAGTGCTGGTCCTGTTGGACATAGGATGCTCCATCCAAGTGTGGGAAACAAGCGTCCCCGACATTGCTACCAGACGCAGGGCCTGGGTCAGGCAGCGTGGTGATGGGCAGGTCCTTGGACCTCTGGCTTGGGTTTTTGTGTGACAGCCTCCATCCACAGAAGCTGCATGAGCAGCAGAGTACCCAAATCTCAGGCCCTGAGACCTCTGGGTTGTCTCAGCATTTACAGGCTGCCACCTCCACAGTGGCCCAGCCTGAGCCTGTGCGCTCCACCACAAACCCCTTCCAGCTAAAGATGGCTCAGGTGCTCTACTTCCTAGAGGACAATTTGGGGGTTCAGGGGGTGTTTGTCCAATGGTGGCACTGGCATTTAAAGATGGATGTGCCATGGGGGGAGGAATGTGCAAATCTAGCCCTGAACAGGACCATTTCTTTTGGGAGGGAAAAACCTGCTTTAAGAAATTTCCTGAGCCATGGCCCTAACTTAGTTTTGCATAAAACAAGGCCCTTTGTTGTTGTTGTTGTTTTTTCCACTTTTAGTGTCTACTGAATTTTCCAGAAGGGAAGACAGTAACGGTTCCCTTCCTTCCTCTCTCTTCCTCTTACTTTTGGGGCTGGGGACGTGACTTGGTGGTAGAGCTGCTTATCCAGCACGTATGATGCCCAGAGTTTGATACCCAGCACCGCCAAAAAAGAGAAAAAACCAAAAACCAAAACCCAAAAGCCATGTTTAGAACTTTACCAGGAGTTTCACATCTTCAGAAAATCATGACCCTGATGGTAAGGCCTCGTTCAGACTTTAACCCTGCTTACTATTCGCTGTGGCCACTGAAGGGCTTCTAAATAGAGGGCTTTTCTCACCTGACATCTGCATATTCAAACTAATATTTTGTTATAAATGACTTTCCTTTTATCTCCTTCACAGATATGGAATTACACAGATCTGAAACTGTAAGTAGGTAGACCACTGGTAACTACAAATGTCACCGTAGGAGACAAGACACTGGAAAGAGAAGGAAGGGATGCCCGGGGCAGGCTGCTTTCCTTTGCTTTTCCGGGTTCACATAGGCAGCCTTATCATGAGAGCTCTGTGGTGGTGTTTCCTACAAGTCTTTTTTGGAAAACTATCTTCCTGGAATTCAGACAGAACCAAGGAATTAAAAAAAAAAAAAAAAAGGAAACAATCAGAAATTTCCACTTGAATTCTTAGTCCTGGCAGATGTCAAGGAACCAAGGAAGGGTCCTGGGTTCTAAACCATACCCCATCCCGACCTAAAATGGCCCAGATTCTGTGTCAATCTCAGGTTTGTTCTCAGGCGGGAATTTCCCAATCAGCAGGATGGGTGCAGCCTCATGCCCCTGGACCCCTGCACCCTCCTTCCTCACCCCAGTGCTTCTACCTCTCCCACTCAACAATTTACACTTTCTGGGTTTCCCCCACCCCCGCCCAAACCACACTGTAATCAGAGAATCAGTGACTGTCACCACTCAAAGGGACCTCAAAGGCTCCTCTGGTCCCCAGTATTTGAAGTAACAAAATCTCTAAATGTGTATCCAGTTCTTGGTATGTGCCAACATATACATGTTAATCAGTTTCCTTAATTCTCCCCAAATGTCTTAATTTCACTCCCATTTTATAGATGAGGAAGTTGAAGCACAGAGAGGTTAAGTCATTTGCCCATTGCCATCCAGCAAGTCACCAGCAGAGCTGGGACTCTAAGCTGGGTCTGCCAGTTCTAGAGCTCAGACTCAGACTCTGAAAGACTAGGAGCCTCCAAGGGGTGGACACCTTGTCCAGAGCTCCCCAGGCCTGAGAACTCCCACTTGGGCCTCTTCCTGCCTCCCAGGACCACTGAAACCAGATTGGATGTGAGAACCGTTTATAAATTCAACCTCCTGCATCTCCCAGAGTCCAAGAATAGCCTTAACCTTGCAATCTCCAAGAACATGTGGTACAAATACTCTGGAAACCTGTTTCCCTTCCTGTGGGCAGGCAAGTCACCGAGAATCATTTGTGCCAGGCATGGTGGTATATAACTATAATCCCAGCACTCATGAGGCAGGAAGATCTCAAGCTTGAGGTCAGCTTGGGTTCCAGAGTGAAACCCTCTCTCAAAAGAGACCATTCTCAGTGTGCAGCCAGGCCAGAGGAGGTCTCCGGGTCTGGGTAAGTCAGAGAATCATCACCTCCTCTCTTTCTCTATCTTACCTCCCTAGAGAGGGAGCGGGGGGGAGGGAGAAGGAAGCACCTTGTTCTTCATGCCTTGCCAGGCTCCTGGGACCCACCTCACTTTCTGCCTGCTTTCCAAGGGACAGCAGCTATACTATCCCCCATCCAACCACACACCTGGGCCAGCCTCCCCTGCCTGCCACTGACCTACGACCTAAGCCACTGGCTGTCTACTCAGGGCCAGGGCTGGGATTAAGTTGCAAAGGGCTTGGGAGATTGGGGATGACAAAAGGGGCTTGGAGACTAATTAGGAGCGCCAATGAAAGCTTAATTCATAAAAGCAAACATTTTCCATCCATCAACCTGCAACCAGTTAAGGGCAACGTTTGAAAGAACTCTGTGCACGGGGAAGGGAGCCAACAGGAACAGGAAATGTTTGAAAGAATGTAAACTATTTCAGTTTCATAAAAAGTAACAAGTAAACAGTTATTACATGCAAATAATGCCCTGGTTTTAATTAATGCTGAAAAGTCAAAATATGTTTGACATTTGTATGTATACATTGAACGGTTGGAGGACAAAATGGTGCCCAGATGCCCGGTTGGGAGCAGTGCTGGCTGTTCACAGGGAACTCGAACCTTCAGAAAGCCTTGTTTATGGGTGATGAAAAGCACAATTCTGCCCCAGCCCCACAGCCTGGCAGCCTGCACGGAGTCTGGGAGCAGGGAGTCCAGCTTCCTTCTTAACCCAGGAGGGGCTCCTGGTGTTTGGGAAGGAAGACTGGCGCAGCTACTTCTGGCAGCCTGGTCTTAAAGGGCCAGTAACCTGCAAGTCTCCATTTCACAGGGCAGGCAGGACAGGGTTTCTAGGACTCCTCCACGAAGGAGGTAAATGATGATGGGTTTCGGGTCCCAGCATCCTCCCACTCAATAGCCTGTGGCGACAGCCACTGTGGCGTCTGGTCCTGCCTTCCTGCCTGGGTAGATCAGACAGGCAGGGTGGCCACCAGTTTGGCTCTGGGGAGATAGTGGTCTTCAAGCCAGGCTTTTGAACGTTCAGCATTCAACCTGCAACCCTTTCTCTTTCAAAGTCCCTTGGGCTTAAAACGCCACAGCTGGGGAGAGACACCCTCTACCCCTGGGGGAGAGTGGCTGGGTGCTTGGGCCCTACCGGCCAAGGATTTGTCCTCTAAAGTCCTTGCCCAAGAAACCTCAAGCTCCCTCTGTGAGCCGTCTGTCCAGGATCCTCTCTCGTAGAAACAGTACGGGAGACTTCCAGAGTTAGTAAACCCGGGACCCTGGGAGAAACTGTTTTTCTGGCAAGCGACCCTGAACTTATTCACATCCTCACAGGGGTCTATGACATCGTGAGGGATAACAAACTGTTATTTTAGACATAGCTGGCTGGACCCACAGACCTATTTCTGGGCTTCTCTTCGGACCCCAAGTCCTCGCTCAGCTTCTATCCCCCCACCTTTGCCATCACCATGTGCGGCTGGCAAGGTCTCCCTTCCACTCACCTCGCCCACTGCGGCCCACGAAGCGCAGGTCATTGAATCTAGCCACCTGGTTCTTCATGACAGCAGAGGCATTGCGCAGTTCAGCAGAATAGTTCTCATCGTTGCCTGCCATCACCGTCACCACCGTCCCATCTGGCACATCCCCCAGTGCCACCACCTGAGGACACGGGATGGGAGGGAGCGCCAGATTAGAAAGGCAAAGGAAAGCCAGGCAATGAGGGGAGGGGCTGGACCTGAACCTGCAGCTCCCCTACGGTTCCAGGTGCACTGCAGATAACTCAAATGCAGGGAGGGGAAGAGGCTTAAAAACAATGGAGACCTTTCTCTAAATATAATGAAAACAAGCTAATGAAATCATTTTCTATGCCCTGATCCTAGATCGACTGGTTAACCCGTGTCCCAAGAAATCATCCTTTCTTATTAACTAAGTTAGACCTACAAAAGAACTGTGGCTCAGCGCAGCTACTGTGAGGTGAGATGCAGTTCCCTGTCGTCTTTTGTTTGAGCAAAAGAGGAATCAGCACGCTCCTAGCAACTGGGTCTCCGAGTAGAAAAACCATCAGTAATAATATTATCAGGGCTGCTCCTTGCACTCAGTTCATGCAGAAGCCCTTTGGGGTATGAAATTTGGCCCTGCAATGTGGCCCAGGCCGTTTATTGGCCTCTGCAGAGCCTGAATTCGTTATGCAGAGAAAATGCAAAATGCAAAACAAACTGCTGTTTTGAGAGCAGAAACTCCTGTAAAGTAAGTGTGTGTGTTTGTGGGGGGAGCTGATAACTGGAAGATGCACCTGCTGGGAATTGCAGAATGGGTGAGATCCCCCCCTCAATGTGGTCTCCTCTACCCCACCCCACGGAGCCCCGAGAGGCAGATGCCTTTTGAAAAGCAACCACACTCTAAACAGAGTCACAGACATTTAAACGTGGCTGCCGCGTGCAGGGACTAGCGATCCAGATGGTAAAAATTTCAAGGAGAAAATGTTTGGGGTCTGATTAAAAAGGCCAGATTTCCTGTCAACATCCTGTCTTCTTTTAATTTCAAAGATTCCTTTTAAGCTCCAAGTGACAGTAAAACCTCCGATCTGACGATTACAGTCACACGGGTCTCCTCCCCCTCCTCCCTGGGAGATTTCCCCCGCTGGTATTTTAAGATGTCACCCGGGAGACCTCAAAGAGCCGCTCGTCTTTTTTTTTTTTTTTTTTTTTTTCAAATCGAAGTCGTCTTAATGGGAGCAAGGACGGCTTCAGCTGCCAGCAGCCGCTGTTTCCAGTCACCTCGGGCACCACCACCTCCCCAGTCGCCGGCCCTTCCTGCCCTGCCCTTTTCTCACGGCAGCTGTGAGAGGTTTAGGGGAAAACCAAGGCGTTTTCGTTTCATCTCGCTGCCCCCTTAAAAAAATGAAAATGAAACAGTCGCCTATTATCTGGCATAGAGAAAAAGATTTGAATGACTGGGGGATACGAGGAGGAGGCACCCCCAATCTCAGCCTGTCATTCGGGATGCAGACTATCCCGGCGACAACCGCTTAGGATACGGTGCCTCCTCTTTCCAGCCTAGGGTCGCCGGGTGCAAAATTTCAGAAGCCCGAGGTTTGAGGGTGTGAGCAGGAAGTGTGTCTGAGGCAGCACAGGAGGAGGGGTGCTGGCGGTGGAGGCTAGGCCCTAGTCACTGTGCGCACCCCACCTCCGGAGTCCTCGCCCTGGCTCTGGGGACCCTCTTCCCGGTGGCTGGTAGGACCTTGTCCGAGGGATCTCGATTAGGGGAGGCAAAAGCCCCATCCGCCCGTTTCCGCATCAGCGTCTCTACGCAGGGCTCCATGAAGGCCAGGTGAAGGATGAAAAGTTATCAGATCGGAGGACATCTAAAAGAGGGAACGCCAAAGTCCTCGTGACGAGCGCACAGCGCCGCTGCGGATGCCCAGATATCGCCGCAGTCTCGGGCACGACCCTTCCTTCGCCACTGTTCCCGGGGCCCTGGCTCCTGCATGCAGCTGGGCGTCCTCCCGTCCGCCCAGGGGCCCGCACTCACCTTGAAGGCGACGGGCAGCGTCTTGTTGCAGCGCCAGTGCGAGGGCAGCACGGAGCAGAGGAAGTTGGGGCTGTCGGTGCGCACGAGCTCTCCCGCGTGGTCCGACAGCACGTCCACCATCGAGCGCACCTCGGGCCGGGCGCGCCCGCCGGGCCCCACGGCCGCCTGCGCGCTCAGCGCGCCGCTGTTCTCGCCCATCTTGCTGCCGCCGCCGCCGCCGCAGGGGAAGGCCGTGGAGGGAGGTGTGAAGCGGCGGCTGGTGCTCGGGTCTACAGGAATACGCATAACAGCGGCCGTCAGGGCGCGGGCGGCGGCGGCGGCGGCGGCGGCGGCGGCAGCGCGGCTTTCCCGGGCGGCGGGCTCAGGCGCCTCCCCAGCCGCCGCTGCCGCGAGAAGCGGGAAAGCAGAAGCGGCGGGCCCGGCCTCAGGGCGCAGGGGGCGGCGCCCGGGGACGCCCCGCCAGGGCCGGCCCGCCGCGAGGCCTCGCTGCCCCGACGGACGGCCGCGCGCAGCCAGCCGCTAGTCCTGCATCCCGGGCGCGAGTGGCCGCTGCTCTCGGTGTCCCCGGCAGCCTGCGCCGCGGCGGGGCCCGCAACGGGCTGGGCCACCGCCTCTCTTCCCACAGCCCTCGCGGCCGCCCCACACTCGGCGGCCGCAGCCCAGAACAAATCCTAGAGAATCAAGTGGCGGCGCCGCGGTCGCCCGCGTGGGGTTAGTACCCCGGGACCCGCGGGGCGGGGCCGCTCGAGCGACGCGTGGCGCAGCCAATCGGAGCCCCCATCGCGGACACCTCGGTCCCCCGCCGGGGAGGAACGGGCCCGCGAGGGCCGCGCCGCCGGGAGGAGGGGCGGAAGGCCCCGCCCCGCCGAGGACGCCCGGGTCGGAGGCCCCGCGCGGCACCCGAGGCCCCCACGACTAGTGAGAAGCCGCGGCCGGTGGGAGAAATTGGTTTGGACCGTCCGGGCAGCGCGGAAGGCTCCCTAGTCCATCCTCGAGGATCGCATCTCCCGGGCGTGGGCCCGCAACCCTTTCTCCCCCTCTTCCTCTGGCCGCGACCCTGCTTCCCTCTGGGCCGGTGACGTTTGCACCCTCAGCTGGGCGCCGCGGGGCCCCAAAGCCGGTGACGCCGAGCGGGGAGCCGCCCCAAAGAGGTTCCTCGCCCCCTCTCTGTCCCACAAACTATTTTGACCCAAGAGCATCCACCGCACACGGGTCTCCGCACGCCCAGTCAACAGCTTATATACGGCTCCCAGCCCAGCGAGGCTTCAGTCCCGGCCTCGGTGGCCCCTGTCCAATCTGGGGGCAGAAGGGAGTCCCCCACGGGTCCACAGTCGGCTGCTGCTGACCACCCCATTTCTCTTCGCTCAAAACCAGTTTCAGGATTGCGCAGGCCTCGAGGCGTTGTTCTTCGTTGTGGCGGCCTGTGGCTCTTTGAAAAACATGGTGGGGCCTGCAGAATGCATGCTTGCCGAATTTTTCCCCCACGCGCATGTAACCACCGTCCGGCATCTTGGATGAGGACGCGGCTCTGTGGCAAGAAGAAAACTGCTGAGTGGCTACAAAGCTAAGGGCCCCGGCTTCCAGAGGAGGGGATTTCTTTCTCCGTGTGGACGGAACGTGGGCCCCAGCTTGCGTTCTGACTGCACTGCAGGGACGCGGACAGCCCTTTGCTGCCCTACCTACTCTCCGGCCAGGGGTCTCTGTCCTTGTTTCCTGTGCAAACCTTTCCCTCTCTGTTTCCTGGGTCGGGTGAGAGGGCCTAGAGATGGGCGACACCTGGGAGGGGACCCGAAAAGATCAAATCCCCATTCATTCCGAATTATCGCCCCAGGTGCGCTTCCTGAACTCTGGGGAACGAAGGCCTGGGAGTCTCTCGGCGTTTCAGAGATTCGGCTGGATTTTCGTTGCCTCCAGCACTCGACAGGTGCACAACGACGAATTCCAAGCCCCAGAAGCAAAGCATAGGATCCCACGGTGGTGGCGGCGGCCAAACCTACTCCAGGACCTGACCTCTGGCCAGCGCATGCAGCTTCGCCTTCACCAAACGAAATCAAGCCGCGAGCGCATTGCCGTGGGGGACGGGCTCTGGCTCCACCCCGATCACCTGGAGAGCTGTCCTGTACCCCTCTCTGGGCCTCACGACAGCCCTTCAGGCCATTTCGGAAGCAAGGACATTGAGAGTCCCTTACTGGACATTTTTAGGGAGCCTTTCGCCTGGGAGTTGGGGATCGTGGGGCCGAAGTCCGCGCCTTCGGAAGTACTGGCGCGAGCAGCAGAGCCAGAGGAAAGCGACGGACCCAGGCCAGGGCGCTTCCGACCTCTGGGAGCTTCCCGGGAGAGGCCCGCTGCTCGCGGACAGGCAGGGCCCTGGCCAGGGGGCGGGCCACCCATGCTGCCCTCCAGCCGCTGTGGGCCACCAGCCGCCGCTTGTCTAGGGTTTGTAAATTCGATTCATCGCGTGGTTTCGGTTTGCATCCGCGCCCTTTATAGGTCCCTCCGCCTGATTTCTCTCTCCCCCTATGGCGATAAACGAATTTCTAGAGAGTGGAGCTCTTGTGGGCCCGACATCTGGCCAAGGCCGGTTGCAGCTCCAACCCTGGGGAAAGCGCCCGCGACTCCTGGGCGCCAAAACCAAGAGCCAGGGTTGCAGGCGCGTGGGTCTTCAGCCCGAGGTCGTGGGGCCGCCAGGGCCGCCCCGGCAGGAGCAGTGGCGGGAGCCACCACTAGTTGGCGCCTGCTCCCTGCCAGCCGAAGAGTTGCCCCAGATGCGCGCCAGCTGCGTTTCCCGTGTCCTGGCCCGGCTGGCCGCCTCTTAAAAGCTGCCTTTCTGAACAGACTGTGTGGATTCCTCACTATCTGTGCGGTGTCAGACCGGAGGCCGCCTTCCTCACCTCTGATGGCCCGACCCTTTCTGCTTTGGCATCTCCAGATAGCCCAAGGTCCCTGCGCCCTGCAGAACTTTCTCCCTACCAGAAATGAACGGGAAAACCTTTTCCCATTCTGGGGATGTGGCGGGAATTGAGAATTTCGTTCTCAGTTTCGACCAACATCCATTCTACTTTCTCCCGCTCACTGATAAACCTGGGATCGGTCATGGTCATCAGTTTTTTGTTAATTCGAATGACAGAGGAGAGTTCTCACCACCAATCCTGGGAACATGCCTCGTCCTCTCCCTCCCTTCTTGTTTGGACACCCTCATACATGTAGAATGGACAACAGCCTGCTTTCTCTCAAGCGGCCCCCACCTCAAAGCGCCCGGGCATGCCCACAGTAGAGCAAGGAAGCATAAGGGCTGGGACACGCCCCTTACCTACCTCCACCCAGAGCTGGGTAACGGGGAGCAATGTGGGGCATACACAGTAGCGTCTCTGACTTTAGGGGGAGCCCCCTCTAAGACGGCTCTAAGTTTGGTCTGTCGCCAGAGAGCCACAGGGCATGTCTGATTTCTCCAGAGTCTGTGTGCCTGGGCAGGGGCAGTTCCCCTAAGTGTGCCAGACAAGAGACAGGTGTGATGGGGAGCCCTAAGAGAGCCTCAGACTGTGGAGGAGCTTGGGGCTGTCGTTTCCTCCACCACTTAGTGCTGTGGGGACAATGGCTTCAAACCTCTCTGAGCCTGTCATGTGTGTGGTGGAGGTAGTAACAGCATCATCCACATAGGATGGTGTGCGGAGTGCTCTGCAAACACCATGCAAGCTGTCACTGTTGTTGAAAAGGAAGGCTTGTTACCTGGTGAAGGGCCCTTTGGCAAGTCCTTCCCCCTCTGTGGGCCTCACACCTGCCATCTGAAATGTAGGTTCTCATGGTCAGAGCTTGCTTGGACCCCATGCTGTCCTGCCCCCTTGGCTCACCTGGGGACTACCTGGAGCAATAAGGACAGCCTGGGACTTGCCTCCAGACAGGCAGCTCCAGGAGGCTTTCTGGCAGCTATTGCAAGGCTGTGCCCTGGCCAGGGTCTGGAGTCCCCTAGCCTCTCAGACTCTCACTCCACCACCTCCCACAGGCAGACACTTTCCTAAGTAGTGACAGGGCAGTAATACACCCAGTACTGTACACCCTCTTCCTCTCCCTCCTCCTCCCCGGGGGTCTGTTTTCTCCCTCCCCACAGCCAGTGAGGAGTGCAGACTCTTTCAGCTGGGCCTAGGCCTCCATGCCCACTCCAGAGGGACCTGTCTCCTGCCTAGTCCCAAGAACTCAAGGAGCACTTTCTATGTCCTCCTCTGAGCCTCAGTTTCCTTTCCTGTCAGTGGAGGTCCTTCTAACCATCCTTCTACAATGGAGCAGATTCAAGAGTACCTGTAGGAGGGGAGGGGCATTGGGTTTCAGCCCATCTAAAAGCCATCAATTGTTTGTTGTGAAAGAGAAAGGAAAAAACGCAGCTAAGTAAACCAGATGGTTTCAGATATGTGTACTTGCATATATTCAGATAATCTGTTTGAATAGAAAATACCATGTTCTGTAACGAATCTGTGTACACATACCTAAATTGGTGAGAACCAATAATGAAAAATGGTTATATATTTAAGTTGAGAGGTCATGCCCTACCAGGTGAGGACTCTCAACCCTCCCTCCAGGCGGCCTCTCAGGAAGGATCCAGAATGGGTGGGAGGACAGCTGTGCTTTTTGAATTACAGGGATTTTTTTTTTAAATAGAGATTCAGACTTGGAGGGGAACGAGGGTAGCAGGAGAGAGTCTGCCACTTACAGGCTGTGTGACTTTTGCCTGGGGTCTGCACCCCTCTGAGCCCAGCACCTGGGGTGGGTATGATGCTCACAGCCAGCTTTGCTGAGGGTGACCACCTGCCCGGTTTTGGGCTTGCACAGACTTGAGTCTCAGGGCCATCTGCTATTGTTGGTGGTCGGTGTTCTCCCATTTAAACAAAGATCAGCCAACTGGGGAGGATTGGAGCCAGGTGGGAGATCGGAGTCAAAATGCAGGGAGTGGAGGCACCCCACAGTTCCTCAGTGAGCGCGGGGCAGAGAAGAGCAGGTGTACAGAAACCCCACGAGTTGCAGTAAACATGGCGCTGTGGAGGTGGTGGAGCTGCAGGCATAAAATCTTAGGCAGCCATGGATTTGGAGGTTAGTGGACCTTTCAGACCCGGCTGGCCGGGGTGAATCGGGAGGGTCCTATGCTGAGGTCCACCACATGGTATGCTCTCGTTGAGCCTCAGAACTGCCAGCAAGGGACAGGAACACTGTAGTCCCCAAATTACAGATGGGATCATTGAGGCAGAGGCCAGCTGATCTGGAGCTGCAGCTGAGACCACAACACTGTAGTCCAGAGCTCTCACACTTCATGTCCAACACCCCAGGGGATGTGCCTGAGTCAGCACAGGTCAGTGTCAGCCAGCTCCCCTTCGGGCGCCAGATAGGTTTCTCTGTGACCTTGGGAGGGAGTCTGAAGGCCCTTCCTGCAAACCCAGATTGTGCCATGCCACCTTCTGGGGGGTGATAGTGGGCCCTCCACACCACTCCTACCCCACCAACCTCAGTCCTGAGAGAGTGCTGGGCTTCAGGGATTGGAGGGAAAAAGAGCGAAGAGGGAGAGAGGGAAGGAGAAAGATGAGCGAAGGAAGGAGAAGGGAAGAGAGGGAGGAGCGTCATACCTCCCAGGTGTGACCCAACCTCAAGGTGCAGACATTTTCTTCTCTTCATTTCATGGATGG